CCTCCCAGAGAGCCCAAAACCCCTTAATTAAGGAATATACCCTGAATTAGAAGGGGCCTTGATATCAGGTTTTAAGGTATATATTCCTTAGTTAAAGGGTATTGGACTCTCTGGGCTCTTTTTGTTCGGTTTTAGGGTTAGGGGGTTTAGGGTTTAGGGTTTTGGGGTTTAGGGTTTAGGGTTATGGGGTTTAGGGTTTAGGGCTTTGGGGTTTAGGGTTTAGGGTTTTGGGGTCTTGGGGTTTTGGGGCTTGGGTTTAGGGTTTGGAATGTAGGGTTTAGGGTTCAGGGCTTAAGGTTTAGGGTTCAGGGTGCAGGGTTCAAGGTGTAGGGCTTTGGGTTTAGAAGCCCATGATACCTATTCTCGCCATCCAATGAAAGAGACGAAGCAAGTAAGCAAAACTACTCTGAAACCGAAACGGGTTTGGGTGGGGAAGGTCCCTGCGCTTCAGTGCACACATATATATATATATATATATCGATTGATTTATTTATTTATTTATAGAGAGAGAGAGAGAGATATGCAAAGCCTCTCCTCGAGGTCGAAGACCTTGTTCGAATTCGCATCAGACTCAGTGAAATCCTGGACAGGTGAAGCACTTCAGAACAAGCTTTGCAGGTACGTTGCCAGGATCCGCAAAGGTAACCTTAATCGGGCCATGATTCTGGCAACCATGATATGGTCGCTGGTATTGAGGGCTTCATAGTGGGTAGTTCGGGGCTGAAGCCAGCATGTAATGGCGGGTTCGGAATATCTACAAGCAGTATCCCTTTTTAGTCCCTTTGCGAAATGGCCTAGATTTTGCTTGTTTGGGTTACTCTGCGCTGTAAGTTGGGCAGCGGGCTATCGTTGACCGCATGCGTTTTGGCCAACCAACACGCAATACCTTGATGGAGCATCACGGCAGCCATGACCAGCAAGACGACCAAGACACCACCACTATCACGAGACCACCGTTAGACAACCGGAAGACCAGCAGGAAATGCTGACGGATGCAACCCTAAACCCTAAACCCCGAACCCTAAACCCGAAACCTTAAACCCTAAACCCTAAACCCGAACCCTATACCTGAAACCCTAAACCCTGAACCCCGAACCCTAAACCCTAAACCTTAAACCCTAAACCCCGAACCCTAAACCCGAAACCTGAAACCCTAAACCCTGAAACGATTCAGGATCACGACCTCAGACGCGTGCCAGCACAGTTTCGAGCTGCTAGACGAGCTATCGGCTCCAGCAGGGTAGTTCTCTAAATGTAGGTTCAGGGTTTAGGTTTTAGG